CATCTGCATAACTTGACACTCAAGTGTTTGCAAAATCAGACCATGAAGTGTATTATATGTGTGTGTTCTCATGACTATATCATCCTTCTCAGTGCCGGTCTTACTAAGCTTACCCCTCATCAGAGATTACATGCACGTTGAAGATTAAAAGGTGTATTTTTCAAGTTAAAGCTTTTGGCTTTTCAGGGAAAGGCTGCTTGAAGTTGTGGTTCATTTGAATTGTCTCCGCAGCGCGTGAACTTTTTATGGATTTCTTAACTAAATGTTCTTCGATCAGTTGTGGCTCTTGGCTCTGGGTGATGGTGTGTTGTGGCTCGGGTCAGTGTTCTAGGTTCAGTGTTAACAGTGTGAAGGTATTCACAAATCGGTGTCATTTATCTGCTACTATGATACACTATAAATAACTTGCCGAGCTATCCATTGTTCTTTTTTAACTCTTGTGTACCTGTACTGTATTTAATTTCAAACCACTCTATGCACAGACTTCCTTCCCCGTCTGCTAGCTGCAGATCCATCCTGAAGTTACTGGTGTCTTTAGTGCGTGAAGCTGCAAGGCTGGAAGTTGGTTTCTGGTGGATGGTTCTCACAGTAACACAGAGTCTGACCGGATCTGCTCTCCGGATCTGTTACCTCCTCGTTTCTGCCTCTTGTGTTTAACTGAAAACTTTTCTGCTTCTCTTTATATATTTTGGGATGATATGGGAAAACCAAGTGCGTCTGAAATTTATCCTTTCCGTGCTCCATTCATGAATAATTTTTATACAGTTAGCAGAGGAAACATTAAAGGAATTATACACTTTGAAATATGTGAGAAAAGTAGAGAAACTGTGAAAGGAAGATTGCATGATGAACGCTAGCGTGTACTTTTTGTACTAGAAAACAGATCCAAAGTGCTTGTTACCCAGCTGTGAATTGGTATTATACCTGTAATGGTGTTTATCTGAGGAAGCAAATCCCATAAAGGTGAACACTGTCTCCAATTTTTTTTGAGAACTGACAAAGTAGTTCAAATTATTTGCTCAGGATAAACTTAGTGTTGTGGTTGAAACCTTGCCAGCAGCAAAACACCCTACTCCACCCCTGGGGAAGGGGGGGAAGAATTGGAGGGATAAAGGTAAGGAGACTCATAGGTTGAGATAAAAACAATTTAATAATTGAAATAAAATTAAAATAATAATGATAATAAAAATAGTCATAATAGAAAATACAAACGAGTAATGCACAATGTTGATTGCTCACTGAGCGAGGCCCAGCCCGTTCCTGCTTGGTGATCCCAGAGAAAAGAGAATCCTGAAACCACAGTCCTGGAAGCCAGAGTGAGCTTCCCAGTTAACCCTTACCTATACACTGAGCATGACGTTAGGTGATATGGAATATCCCATTGGCCATTTTGGGTCCGTTGTTTTGACTGCACTCTCCCTCCAGCCTCTGGTGTACCTGTGCACTAGCAGGACACGAAAAGCTGAAAAGTCCTTGATTTCTTAGCAACAACTAAACCCATCAGTACATTATCAACATTCTTCTCATATCAAATCTCATACTGAATCCAAAACACAGCACTATTCTAGTTACTAAGAAGGAAAGGAAAAAAATAATTAGTTCTATCCCAGCTGAAACCAGGACACTTAGCTTTTAGACTGGAAATAAGCGGTGTTTCTCTTGACTCACAGATCACCTTTATGTCTGTGAAACTGCACTGCCTTTGGGGCATAAACTTGCTCTTTAGATGTGAATGTAAATGTCGGTCTGCGGGTGTACATGGACATAACTTCATTTGTGTCTACACGTTTCCTTCCCAGGTCACCTGCATAACGTGCAACTACAAATCCAACACCGTCGAGCCCTTTTGGGATCTTTCCCTGGAATTCCCCGAGCGTTATCATTCTATCGAGAAAGGGATCGTCCCTGTTAATCAGGCAGAGTGCATGCTGACAGAAATGTTGGCCAAGTTCACCGAGACCGAAGCTCTGGAAGGGAGGATATATGCGTGTGACCAGTGCAACAGTAAGTCAGATGCTGCTGCTGTCTCTGCCGTTAGAAGCCCCGTCTGGTTTTCTGAGTGAGCAGTTTCTGATGCATGCTTTCTGTGTCTGAAAACATAGATTGTGGCCTGTATGCATAGGGAAACTCTGTTCTTCCTTGCTGCTCATGCTGTTTTGTTTCCTCCTGTTGGTGGCTTCTGTTCCTTTGGGCACTAGTTTGGATCTGATCTGTCATTTTTCTCTCATCTCTGCCGTTCTGCAGTGCAGTTTACTTAAGGGTTTAATGTGACCCTGTTCAGAACTGCTCTCGTTGCTTCTGTCGGAGGGAGAGGCAACTTCAAGAATGTTTTGGGGGAGAGGGGATTGGATTTAGAGACAAAAGAAGGAACCTTATCCCCTACGGTTTGCTCATCTCTGCATGGCAGGAAGGCTTTTATAACAAGTCATCTGTATGCTGCTTGTTCGTGATTGAATCAAGAACCAGAATTGAATCAATTCGCCAGAAGTCACAAATGCAGAATTCTCAAGGTCTGCTGCCAGGTTAGAGTTTCTGTCCCTCTGTAGGCATTTTGTCAAGAGGCAATGAACTGACATTATTCTGGGAGTCTCGGGTTAATGCATTATCCGTTAATATGAATGCCCGTGTTTGCTGTGCTCAGCTAGAAGATGACTTCTGCTTTCCTGTAGTAGGTCTGAGCGTAAGGTCATTATATGCCTGAAAATAATTTTAGCCTTGTGCATAATCATGCAGCTCAGCTACCCTGATTTGAAATTTTATTCATGCAGGTATTTATGGCAAATGTTCATCCCCTTGGGAGGAAAATGCCAATAATTTGACTTACATTGCAACTAAACAGCTGATGTAGCAAATATTTGTGGAGATCTGTTCTCTGTCAACTTGCAAATCAGTTACCAAACTTCTTCACAAAGCGTTAGGAAGTAATCATTGACTAGATGTTCTTGAAACAAAGTCAAATATCATTTGAACAGATTCTGATTTGCAAATAATGTTCACAAAGTGTCGATATGGATGAGTACAGCTTCATCTTATCTTTGTTTTATTTGATTCTTTCTGTAAGCCTGAATTTTAACAGTTACTTCAGAGTTAAATGGCTAAGAAAACATAAGCAGCTGAAAAAAAAAAAAAAAAAAGTCAGGGGAAGGCAACCAGCCTGCGTCTAGGTGCCAAAAACTATTGGGGGCACCGCTTGTCAGACGTGACGGAGGAGGAGCAACCCATCTGTTCTGAACTGGTGCAGTGAGGTGCAGAAATCTAATTAACAGGTACATTTCTTATTGGAAGCTCAGAAAGCCACCTGTCTTCCTCCTGGTATAGTCGTATGTTCAGTGTCCTGGAAAGAGTAATCACTGGGAAGAGGAACCTTTTTTTCCTCTTCTCAGTTTCAGTTCAGCAGTTGTTTTACGTTCCTGGACAGGCAGAAACCCTCGAGAGGTGGAACCTTGCAGGAAGCATTTTCCTCTGACTTGTATTAATATTCTTGAGCTAGTGAAGCTTGCTACTACAAGCCTTATTCTAGTGGTATAAGATGATCAAAGTAGTAGACAGAATACAGTGTGTCAGTTTGCCTGTTGAAACCACTACAGCCCCAGCTCTCTTTGACCCTAACTGTATTAATATTTCTGGTGTATTTCTCAAAGCAAAATGTCAGCATGAGCAGCTTGAGGGTGGTATCTGATTGTGTGATTATGAGCATCACAAAAGTGAAAAAGTTTTAAGTATTTTTAAACGTGCGAGTGTCTATTCTAGAGAAGTTCCTGCCCTTTGAAGGAATTCATAAGAAGTATTTACTTACATGTCCATCCTGAGTGCATGAGACTTGGGCAATTTTCCCCTTCTGAAAATTTATTACACTCCTAACAATCTTTGCCTTGATTTTTTTTTTCTTTTTTTGGCTAGGCAAACGGCGAAAGTCTTCTCCTAAACCTCTTGTTCTGAGTGAAGCTAAAAAGCAGTTAATGATCTACAGACTACCTCAGGTCCTCCGACTGCACCTTAAACGATTCAGGTGAGTGGGGCACACTGTATAACGTCAAGCGAGTGACTTGCCTCTTGTCTTTTTGAAAAGAAATTATTAGTGTGGGACCATAACTTCGGTCACTTTCTGGGAGATGCACGTGTATACAAATTTTACCCAAACCAGATGATTATAACTACTTACATTACAACCAGTAGCTTGTTTGTGGCACGTTTTCTACTATACACACAAAGTTTTGTGAAAATTAATATGGATTTCCTCGAATTCTACTCAACGGTATTTGTCTGAGTTTGCAGGCAACTTGAAACAGTGGCTGTGAGACTGGTTAACTGATGAATGAAATGTTTGTTGAAGCTGGAAGCCTCTGATAGTTAAATGTCAATATTAGGTATTTACCTGTTGAATACAACAAAGTTCAAAATGTTATGAAATGTCCCTAAAATGGTTGGCATAGGCAAGTGAGGTGTGTGGTGTTTATATTTATAACTGAGTATTTTAAACCCTGTTTGACTGGCACAGTAGTTGTTTGGGTTTTTTTGGGGTTTGGCTGTTGCAAATCTCAGCGATATCCTGACTCTAACAAATGGGCATCCACGATGGAATCAGCTGTGTGGGAAATATGACTGTAGCAGGTGTTAGACTTTTTTCCTTCTGTTTTCACTCTATGATGCCTGCTTGACCCTAGCAGGGAAAGCTCTTCAGAGCTGTTTAGCAGTGGCTGCTTTTGTGTGCATCTTCCCCCAGCCCTGTACCGCCGTCGAGAAGCAGGATCTCGAGTCTTTGATTTGTGCCCTTGTGTTTGCAGGTGGTCTGAACGTAATCACCGTGAGAAGATTGGGGTCCATGTCCTCTTTGACCAGGTATTAAACATGGAACCTTACTGCTGCAGGGACTCTCTCTCCTCTCTTGACAAAGAGACCTTTGTCTATGACCTCTCCGCTGTGGTGATGCATCACGGGAAAGGGTTTGGCTCAGGACACTACACAGCATATTGCTACAACACAGAGGGAGGTGCGTGTGCCTTGTTACGGGGGAAACAAATTCAAGAGACTCGTGTTTTATTCCATAAACGTAGGGTGTTGTAAAGCTTTATGATCAGAGTTGTTTGGAATCAAGTTTCCTGACATTCAGTACTTTGTTTCCCAGAATGTATTGCTAGTAGCATGGGGTTGTTTTTTTAATTTTTTTTTTTAATTTATTTTTGCATAAAGCTACAGATTGCTGCTCTTTGCTTTGCGGCCCTTCGGAATGCCTTTTATTGCTTGCTGTTAACAGCATGAATGCTTCATTTTCTCTTGCGATGTAAATCTGTGGAGCCGCTCCAGCTGGGTGTCTTTTCTCAGTATCCTTGGGATGATGAGATAAACAGAAAGTGTTTTGAAACTGGACAGGAACTATTCATGAATAACATCCGCGGGGTTTTTGTGATTTTTCCAGCAGTCTCTTTCTGCAGCTGAATTAGTATTGACTCCATCTTCTGACTTGTGGAGAAAGAGGTACAAATTGGTTATCTCCAGGGAATTTGTATTCTCCTAATTGGGTTTTTGTGCTATAACATACAATTGGCTGAATTATGATTTGGTATTTTTAAACTCTATTAATAGCACAGAAGTGACCAAAATGTTTTCCAGATTACAAACTCCTTTCTAAACCATCTGTAGAGGAAAAGATAGAGATGCCTTTTCTCCTACTTTGCCCTTTTTCTCTGTGGATGTTTCCTATGAAGAGTTCCAAAACGCATTCAGAAGGAATTATGCCTCCCTTAACGTCCTCTTTCTCACTTTGATTCCTAGGTTTTTGGGTCCACTGCAATGACTCCAAACTGAATGTATGTAGCGTGGAGGAGGTGTGCAAAACCCAGGCCTACATTCTTTTTTACACTCAAAGAACAGTGCAGGACAAAGCAAGAATCTCAGAAAAACAACTCCAAGCTCAGGTGCCGTCCAAAAATAGCGATAAGGACAGAAGACTGACATTCCCGTGATGGGGAGCTCTGTAACTCAATCAACAGTTGTTTTTTTAAAACCATTGGCGTTCACATCTTTCCTCTTTGTGGGGGGAAAAAAGGCTCGCTGCAGGAAGGGGATCACATCATGACGTTTGCCGGCCAGGGCCTGGAAAAGCATATTGAGCTGGGCAATTCTGACACATAGGATTGTAGTCAGAATCTTGTTTTTTAAAAGCATCTTGTTGTTAAATTATGCTCACAAAATGAAATGAGAAAGTTTGATGCTGTATATCATTCATCTGGTATCAAAAAGGAATTGCGTAAGGCGTGTAACAAATGAGCACAACCAGGAAATAGAAACATTCAACTGGCTTCAAAAACCTTCAGTACCTAGTAATGCTGATAAAACTCCAGAAGCAACAGGTATAGTACCCTGCGCTTTAATTGCCATTCAGATTTCCAGGGTTTGAATCCCACAGTCACCCAGGTATTTATTTGAACAGTTGTTGGATAGATGCAGTTGACTGCCCTGAGTGCCGTTCTGGCTGGAGAAATGTTCAACGTTCTTCTACCAGAGAAAATACTCCCCCAGGCCTCAGCTCTCTCCGTGATACCAATTTCTTTGCCATCAGCTGAGGACAATCCCACAGCTGGCAAGTTTTGTCAACAGCTCTTTTTCTCAGTGTTAACTGGGGCTGCGAGCGCACTTGGTGGTTTATTCTCTGGGCTGAACTGAATCGGCAGCTAAATTCACTCGGAATGTGATTTTAAAACAGTTCTGCTCTGGAGAAAGTCTCTTTAAAAAAAACAAACCCCTGTAATAAAACAGGAATGTACCTGTGTGTCATATCTGTTTACAGTGGCAGCAAAAATAAAGCCTATACTACAGGCTTCTGCTGGCATAACTTGGTCATCGGGATTATAGAGAAGTCTGAGCCCTGTCTTGCACAGGTGTGACAGCAGAAGCAGGTAGCATGGGAGGCATCTTACACTGGCAAACTAGCACTTTTTTTTTACAAATGTGGCTTGTTTTCCTCAGGGGAACAGGGTGGTGGTAATACCACAAAGGTAGGAGACACAGCTAGCTTCTGTTACAGCTTCTGTAACGGAATATTCATTAATTGCAGCGATCACACAAAGCCCAGACTAACTGAAGGCAGTGAAGTTTGCACGGGTGTCGTGAGCGGAATTCAGCCTGTGAAGTCTTTATTTCTGCTGGGACATAAATGGAAGGAATGTAGTTAAATCTCAAATTCCACGTTGAGTTTGAAAGGCTACAAAAATGTCTGTATCTGTAATCATCTTGGTTTTAGAATTCTATGAGAAACATAGGGCCTTAGTTGACTATTTATAGTCACTTTTCAGCCTACAGTTGTACCTCAGGTGTTTTTATAATTTGGGGTTTGGCTGTTCACATTTCATGTTTTCATCAAATCTGAATATGTAACTGCAAAGAGATGTGACATCATTCAATCTTGATGGTCAGTTGTTTTTTTTTTTTAAAGTGGTTAAAGGTGAAGTAATCTTAAAAATATGAGGTTCTTCAAAAAAAAAAAAAAAAAAAAAAAAAAAAGGGTTTCATTTCCAGGCAGAGAAGTTCTGAAAGTGTGTTTCTCTTCCTCCCTCTTCTTTTATTATTGTCAGCATTTGCTCATCAAACAGACACTGACAACCCTACGTTGTTGTTGGAGGGGGTGAAGAGGTAAATTTCCCAAATGCCACTACTGTGACTTCGAACCTCCTGTCCTGTGGGCATATCGGTCTCTCTTTGGCTGCTGCTAATCACATCAGCCATGCAGAGATGAGCACAGCAAACAAGAAACTTTTATTTTGTCAGAGCACAATGTCATGCTAGGTCTCCTCTGTCCTTAAAGTTTCCCATTTATTGTATGTCTGAGCAACATGCTGCTTTTTGAGCCTACAAAACCTGTCTTTTTGACAATTAAATAGTTTTGAGATCATATACTGTTATTTTTTCTGGAGACGAGACAATTTGAAACAGTCCTATGGGAACTGATTTAAAAAGTTTTAGTTTTGGTTCTCTAAAATGTAGCAAGGTCTGGAAGGATTTCTTAATGAATGTCTGTATATCTGTGTATTTACTAGGTAGGGGTTTGGGGTTTTTTGTTTTTTTTTTGTGCTACCCGTAAATAAAATGAAGAAAAATGCAAAAGGCCAAATTGAGATCCAAGAAAAGGAAATGTGATTGCTGATTGCAGGGGACGCTGAGTTGGGTTCAGCACAGATAAAAGTTGACAGTCCTTGAAAGAATCAAAATCAAGTGCTTGCGATTATCGGATACGTGATGGATTCTTTTCCAGAGCAAAACATAAGCTCTGTGAAGCCTGTGTGTCTCAAAAAGAAAATTAAAGGAAAAATAGTGCTTAAGATAGATTAAAAAAAGCAAAGAGGTGGAAGGGAAAACTGGTATTTTTCCCATGCATCTGTCCTTCCAGGCCTACCCACCCTTTAAGAGGATTATGTTCTTCTAAATGACAGTCATGGTTTGCTATGACTACCAAATGGTACGTTCACTTTCTGAATCCCTTGGCCGCGCTGGCCCCGTTTGTATAAAAATCTGACAGCAAGGCAAAGTGTAACACAGCGCTGGTTACCGCAGCGAGCGGAGACTCCGTGCTGTGAACGCTCATCTTTTGACTGAGTGTTTTGCTTAAATATTTGAATTCAGGTAGTAAGACAGTTGTCACGTGAATCGAGTGGGGAGCTGGGAGTGCACCTGTAGCCGTTGCTGCATCTGATTGCCCGAGCAGATTTTTGTAGCATTTGCTGGTGACATCATTTTGACATTAGTGGCCTCTCCATGTGACGTTAGCCTAGTTGCGCTGAGCTGTGGAGATACTGCAGTCAGAAAAATGATTGCCCTGATAGGGAAGGAATGAATTATACTTCAAAGTAAATAAACTTGCTTTTTCCAACACTGTGAGGTTTCTGTAATATTTAGCTTTTATTTGGAAGCGATAGCGTATAGCATTTTTTATGCTGTTTGGTTTATATTTGTCTACTGCAGGCTTCTTTATATAAGCATAGCCCAATGCTCCCTCCGTGGTGGACACTGTTTTATAGTGTCCTGTTTGCCAGAAATCCTGACTGGAAGTTACCTCTCTACGTCAGCAAGATGGAAATACTACTTGCAACTACAGTGAAGCCCACTTAAGTGACAAAGGGTAGCCCGTAAAGCAAACTTTGTCCCTCCTTTTAACGGTATGGCTTCAAACCCTGCTAATCCACCGATGTCTGTTTAGAATAATTCCAGATTTAGGCTCTGCTTCTGCAAACACACAGGCAGATGATGTGACTTAACTCCTGCGTGGAGTTCAGTGGCCACAGGCGTGAGTTGCAAACTAAGTGTCTGCAACATAAAAACTTCTATTTTTTTAATTTTTATTTTTTTGGTACGAATGGGAGCAGAACTGGTTTCTCTGAGTAGTGGGGTTCCAGTCTTGTAGCAAGGAGTCAGTTGCCTTGAGAGATGCTCAGGGCGAGTGTGAGGTCCTTGTAGGTGATTGTCTTGAGGGCATAGGAAGCCACTGTATGCTGGCAGATTGTCAGGCTCCTGAGCATGCAGTCTTTGGGACAGAACTGTTCCCAACATACCCTTATTCCACATTCAACTTGTAATTACATCGGCATTCCTTAGTTTTACGTTTTTAAGAATGAAGAATCTTAATGTATTCATGGCCAGACATGATACAGCATCCGCTGTAGCTGTTGGAAACCACTTCCTTTTAGCTAACTTCGTTCCACTAGCAAGTTAGTTACATAAATTTGCCTTTATGTTATCCCTTTACTGCCGGTATTCCCAAGTTAAACTATGCATGCTGCAAAAACAGGTTCTCTGCAAAGCAGTAGAAAAAACCCCAACTTTTTTCCCCGTTAGTTCTGACCAGAACAATTCTCTGGTCCGGCTTTGAAATGGATAATGTGAGGCAGCAAATGGAGTAATGCATATTAAATGCTTGACATCAGACTTTTCTGGGTGGCGGTACCACCCCCACTTAGGGACTTCCAGATGGGTTTTTTTGAGTGTAGGAATAAAATTGGAAATGGTAAAAGCATTAAGTGTGTCCTATGGACTCGCTATCGGGAGGTTTTTTTTTGCTTTTAGAAGGCAAGGCTTCTAGAGTAAATATTGTCCTGGTGGTAATTTAGAAACTCTTTTCTTGATTGTAGCATCCCCAGGCCTGAATATGCTTAATTGCATCCCAATGAGAGACTAATGAAACTTCTGGCTGATGTTGTAGTTACCCGTCCAGCAGAAGTCAGTGGTGGAGCAGAATGAGAACTACGTAAGCAAGAGACGGGGAGATTAGTTTTACCTGCCAGTACGATTTCGTGAACTAATTTTGTATGATTCCTTAGATTTGGTGCCTTGTATCAATAATATTTTGCATGGGAGAGAAACATTGGGAAATAAGTTGTGAATTCCCCCCTCCTGACTGAAGCAGCAGACTTGGGTGTTTTTACAGGTACTCAGTATCACTGACATTTTTTACATTTCGGATCTGTATGTGAATGAAGCTTACCAGCAAGCTCAGAGGCCAGTATTTTAGTGTTACATGTTTGAAATCTTGCTATTTGTAATACTTCAAATAACAGCTTGTTCAGAGGAGGATTAGATTTGGCCTTTGAGATTTTCTTACGTCACCCAGGCCCCTCCAGTCTGGTCAGTAAGTTGACATGTGTCAGAGCATGTAGCATAGGGCAAGGAATAAAAAACTCCAGCAGGGTTTTTGCTAGAGTAGCTGTAGCTTTGGGAAGCACCTTCTGTTATAAACCTAATTGCTGGTTTAAAAAATTAAAAAAAAAAACAAAAAAACAAACCAACATTCCCATTGTCATGGCAGTGTTTGCACGGGTTTCCTCTCAGCAGCCTAGTAAATACTTCCACACGTGAGCAAAAGCATGCCGTGGTAATGCCTGTGTGAATTTAATATGCAACAGATACGGTTGTGTAAGGTGGCCAAGTGTCCCTTCTTCAAAGTAAATAGTAAAATCCAAGCAGCAGCTCTGAACACCGCCTTTGTGTGCGCGTCTAATCCCTTCAGCAGGTTGGAGATCAGATAGGACGGATTTAGGTTGATAATTTATTGCCTGTGGGAATATAAAACCTCAATTCAGTGGGTTTTTTGGTGTCTATTACATTAATATTGATACCTGTTTATTGCAGATGGGAATGTGAAGCATTGTAGCAAGCTTCTAAATTTATAAAACCACATGTTTAAATGATCAAACGCTATGTATGTTGGTTACCTGTAGCAACTAGTGATTATTTGTCTCGGTTGATTTTAGGGGTATGCTTTTAGGCTGCTCCTTCTGCTGTACTGATTTTTATTTTTTATTTTTTTTGTGTGTGTGTGTATGGATTCCACATGAGCCAGAATTCTTTCAGAAGAGTTCTTAAGTCACACAAATGAGCTTTGCAATGTACCTTTCCAAAAGGCAGGGGGGAGAAGAGAAAAAGGAAAAAACAAAAAGGGCCCCTGATCGACTTTAACCACTGTTAACTATTGATTGTTTGAAGCTTGTGCGTGATACAAGAATGCACTGCAGTTACAAAGTGCTTCTTGAACTGCTCTGCTAACTCATTTTGTGCGGGCTGGGAGTAGGGAAGGAGTTGGGATGGCTGAAGTGATCAGTAAAAAACAAAGCCAGGCAGCCCACGGCAGTAAGCTGGGATCCCAGTTTGGATGAGACAGGAAGCCTCTGCCAAGGGGACGCTGCGTGTTGGAGAACTGCGTGTTTGCAGGCAGAGACATTATTAACAAAATCAGTCTCATTAGCAGCAACCTCCTATAGTTTTTGTGGTAAAAGCTTTCTCTGATCGGTAGCTTCATACTGGCAAAACAATGGTGCTTTTCCATTACATATTTCAGTTCCTAAGGAACAGTACCCCAAATTCTCAAGTTTTATAAAGGAGCTACCTAAAGCCCACAACGTCACTGTAAATGCTTTGCATAACTGGAAGTGAGAAAGTACACGATACAGTTGATGACTTTACAATTGTAATTTTTAGTCTTGATTAACCGACTTCCAATAGAGGGGGCAGGTGGTGAATTGGATATTTTTCCTATGCTGAAGTGCTGTGCCCTGACTTGTCGAACTAGGACTGAAGTAGAAAAGGTCTCCTCTTGTTTCTGTTCCTGCTTTAACCACTAATTTCTGTGTGAGCCTCTCTTTTTTGGGAGCGTGGGGCTTCTGAACGTTGCTCCTGCTAAAGAGGAACACCCATTCCATTCAACATGAGCAGAGTTAAGCCTGATGTACTTAGGCTAGCCTTTTTTCCTCTAGATAACCATATCCATACCATGGGGATAATCTGTACGGCCACAGCTGTGTCGGTACAAATCTGTGTCTTGTTGGTGGCTGGACAAGGGTCAAGAATGTACCACAGCATGGGCAGGTGAGAGCTGTGCACGTGGGTGACGTCCCCACAGGCTCCTGGTGAGCTGCTCAACAAAATCAGCAGCAGAGAAATGACGATTAATTGTACAGTAATTACTGTAGTGTTTGGGCTGCATAACTCCACGCCTCTGATTTAAGAATGGCATTTTCACAGTGTCATCTTCATTTATTAAATGGCATTACTAGGCCTGACCCTTAAGGCTATTTCCTACTGTGATGAACCACATATTTCCATGTGAAAACCCAATTTTTGGCCTAGTCTATCAGATGTGTCAACTACAGTAATTTACCACTGGCAACCTAGAGCCCATGTAAAAGAGAATTAGGTCCTATTTTTTATCCCTGATGAACTTCAGCTTTGTTTAAGCAGTCAAAAACTCTTTAAGCCACAGCCTTCTATACATCTAACAAGCAGTTTACAGGAAAGGAACAACTTTGTTTCCAGTAAAACTTTTTTTTACAGGTCTGCCTTTCCATAAAAGAAACTTAAACAACTTAGAAACTTCAAACAGCTGCTCAGAGAGCAGCACAGCGTGGGCGAGCTCCCTTAAGGTGCAGTGGGCCTGGGGAGGACGCTGCCGGGGAGACCCCACTTCTGCTAAAGCCCTGGAAGCTTCACTCTTGACTTGAGTAAGAGCAGAATTAAAGGTAATCTTCAGCACTTTAAAAAAGTTAATCCCGCTCTAAGTTAAGGCAGCTGGAAGGGTGTTGTTGGCAGAGGCCGGGTAGAAGACGAGCAGTTTTCCCTCAGTATGAAATCCCCCGGCAGCCCTTGTGAAAACAGGAGCGAAATGCTGAGCTGCTTTCTCGGGTGAGAGGCCAGGCTGGAGCTTGGGTGGGTTTTCTGATTTTTTTTTATTTTTTTTTTAGTGACTTCTATGGGGACTTTAAGTTAGAACAGCCTCTAGTTTCTACTTCAAGTTTCTGGTCCTTACATCACTAATGACTTAAGCTGATGTGTGCCATGCTGTGCTCATGAGTGAGACTGCCTTTGCTTCAAGGACGCTCCCAGGCAGCAGCGACAAGAGAATCCAATTAATTACTGAATGTTTCTGGCAATCTGTCTAGCTGTCTCACAGCTCAGTGGAAGTGTGCTGCTCCTAATCGCAGGTTCAGCTGCTTTTATTTTAGTCAAGGTTCGTTAAGATAACATCCAGTAAGTCACCTATGGCAGCCTTATGTACTTAACTGCATGAACTGCCCCCTGCCTGAACCCAGGCCTCGAGAGATTAGTGTGTTCTAAATCAAAACTAAGATTAACTATAAGATGGCTTGATTAATCCCCTTTTCCTGCAGAAACTGTTTCTGCCTAACTCGGGTGGTTCATACTTCAAAAGACCTTAATTTCTTTACAGGATATTAGAACACCCGCTTTGAAAACGGCATTTTTAAGAATCTGTGTTGGTAGAGGAATGACTTTCTCTCTGGGGCAGGTAAGGGGGCAGTTCTCAGCCACAAAACATGGAGGCAACGCTACTTCAGAAGAATGTCTTAAACTAAAACCCCGTTGTGTAAACTGTCCAAAGAATCTGAAGCCATGTTGCAGTCCTACTGCCATAATGCTCAGGGCTGGGAAATTAATTCTGTTCCACTAACAGCATGTTGGAGGAGCTGTCGGGTAACGTACGTGAGTAAATCGCAGCCGTGGCTCTGTCAGCCCCGCGTGGTGCTTTCACTGTCCCCCCCCCAGCAGCTCCACCACCCACAGCTGAACTTTAAAGCTGATAACAGCCAAGCTGCAGCCCCAGTCCAGGGCACTAAAATGCTATGCAACACCAAACGGCTGCTGCTTCCCACACACAGTCATCTCTCCTTTACAGGAAGTGTCCCAGCTTTATCTCATCCGGACATTTACCCAGGAAACCTTCTGGTGGTTAGAGTTTACCTAGGGCTTGTCACAGTTTTGTTTTTCCTTTGAATAAGTAGCTGATGGGTCCTGCTTACAGCCCAGGACTGGACTTGTTCCTTTGTCTTTCGGGTGTGAAATACAAATCATGTTTTTATGATTTTTTTGTAAATCTTTACTCTTTTTACACCTTGTTTTTGTAAGCTGAAGTTTCTTATTAAAAAAAAAATGAAATTCCAGCGCGTCATGTCATTATTCTACATACTTTAATAAACATTTAGATAGGGGTACAGAAGATTCCACGCACAATGGCTTCACATCCTTGACAAAACTATTCTCATTGTGCCTTGCAGAATGAATTAGAAATAAATTCTCTCACACTGAAAACCTTTTTTTTCCCCCCTGCTTGTCACCGCTTTAAGCGTGACAGCTTTGAAGTGTGAGTAGCAGCTCTGCAGAGAAGGAGAACAGACCCTACTCTGGTGAAGTATCGTAACTCGTAATGGCTAAACACGTCTCTTCTGGTCCTCGGGTGTGGGGGGCGAGCTCTTCTCCCTTGCCGCTCTATTTCGTTCCTAGGTCAGCAATTAAGCAGAGTTAGATAAGCCTGTTCCTAGTCCAGTGTAGTGGCATAGGGCAGCTTAACGCAAGGTGGCAATTCTTTGTGTAACCAGATTGCTTTAGGCTTTAGTGCTCCCGGGGCTGGGGCGTGCTCGGGGTTTAGTCCCTTTTGCAGTTCGTTGTTACTCGATCACCTCGTACGGTAACAGCCTCTCGTCGGGGGAGGACCCTCACACGCTGCGGGGGTTCCGCCTGCACACTCACACTCCCATCGCCACCGCGGTTGGGTCGCCGAGGAGCGCGGCGCCGATCGCAGAGCCCTCACCCCCGCGGCCCCCCGGTTCCCGCTTCCCGAGGACTCACCGCCGCTACGGGCCGGGTTGCGGAGCCATCAGATCGATGTCCGTCAAGTTCCGAGCGACCCAGACGCCAGCGGCGAACAGCCCCAAATTCACCAGAAGATTCCTGAAACAGAAACGGGCAGCGCTGGCTCCCGCTCCTGCTC